TTACTACCTCTCCCCCCGTCGCGGCTACAAGCTCTTATACGAGCTGCCGAATAAGATTCCCTCCTGGAAGCGGGACTACTTTGTGGTCCGTAACCCCGAGGGGTGGCCCTTTCCCACCTCTTGGAGTTGTGCTATCCAGGACCCGGGGGCCGAGCTGAACCCCGAGATTCGGAAAACGATGCTGTCTTGGGCATCGGTAGGCTTCCTCTGCTCAGACTACTTGGCCGAGGAGAAGCTCGTGCAGGTAGGCTTGAGCCCGGGTAGGTCGGTCTTTTAGGTCGCGTAGCGTCATGTGACTTGTGTACACATGCATTTTGCTTCCTGCTGGACTAATATCTTGTGGTCTTTTGGCAGCCATCATGTCTAGTGCCGATTCGCGCCACCTACTCTCGGGCAGCCAGAGGCACCAGGTGAAGAGGACGCGCCCCGACCGAACTCCTCCTTCGGGAAGCACTGAGTTTGGGTCTGCCGAGCCGGTCCTGCCTTCTCCACCCGAGGTCCCAACGCCCCCTCCTGAGGGGACTAGTGGGATCAACCCTGGGGGAAGCGAGCTCCCTCAGCCGAGGGAGGTGCCCTTTAACCCCCTTCAGCCCTGACCTTACCCTCGATTCCCAGTGGGGAGCTGGGAGGGGGTAAATTATTATATGGTAGCTCATCGGAGGAGTTGGAAGGCAATCACCAACGATGAAACTACTCAGTGGGGAAATATGGAGCCTGGGGATATCTCTGCATTCGCATCTACTCACTGCATGGTGGTAAGTGGCCTTTTTTCCCCTTTTTTCTCTCTTGTTCTGCCCTTTTCCGCGGTCTTCTGATCTTTTGTTTTCGCTGATAGGTAAACTCTACCATCCATGCCATGGCTCTCCAGACACGCATCCATCGCGTCTACGCCCTCGACTAGCGTGCAGCCAACCAAAAGCTCCAGGTCGAGCTTGACCGGATCCGGGGCGAGCTCCATCACACCCGCAAGGGGAGCGAGTCTCAGGAGCTGATCGTTCATGATCAGGAGGCTCAAATCGCTCGACTTACTGAAGAGAGCGCACGCTATAGGGAGGAATCGTCGAGGATGGCGGGAGAGAGGGAGCTCCTCAGGCAACAGGTGCGGGAACTGGAGTCTACTCTTCTRAATCRGACCCRAAACTTTGACCAGATGGTGGAGGCTGAGCGAGAGAAAGCAGTATGGGATTTTAAAGACTCCCAGGAGTTCCATGACCTCCAGGCGGAGTATGGCTCGGGTTCGTAC